TAAAGCAGCAGATCAGGCAACAAATACAACATACTAACAAAACCAAACACACAACATTCTGAATATCTGATAACTATACTCAACACAACCAAACATCCAATAATCCTGGGTGATCAAGCAAGAATCCACCAGTATCAGAAACTAAGGACAAGGTGCAATAAACCAACACAATCAGACCACCAACAAGTCTAGCATCACAGAAATTTACTGAATAGATCCAACAACCCAAGTATCCAACTGATCAGAAAACAAGCCAACATAGCCAACAAACCACCAGATCAATCCTAAGTAACAGAGTCAACATCCCACTAGATCCAATAAACATACTATCCAAGAAATCAAAACATAGGGACTCAAAAAATAGGAAAAAATTATCCAAGATAGCCAACAAACCACCACATCAGCCTCATAAGCAACACAGCCAACAACCCAACATCTCAAATCAACATACGATCCAAAAAATCAAAACAAAGGGACTCAAAAAAATTTGAAAAACTAGTCATCATAGCCAACAAACCAGCAGATCAATCATAAGCAACACAGCCAACAACCAAGCATCTCAAATCAACATACGATTAAAAAATCAAAACAAAGGGACTGAGAAAAAATTAAAAAATTAGTAAGATAGGGTTAGGAATCGTTACGCAAGCAGTCAATTGGAGGGTTGAACCCTAGGGTTCATCTGCCTCTCACTGATTTTCACAGGAGGGCGAGCCTTCTTACGAGGAGTGGACGAAGCCTCCTCCTCTTGAGACTCATCATCAGATGAGAGCACAACGTACTGCACATCCGGCAACCCAAGCATCCTTCTACGAGCCACCAACGCGGCCCTCCTAGCCCGAATCTTCGTGGGTGGCCTAGCCCTCTTAGATCTGGGCTGTTTTGTGGCCACGTAACTCCCCTCAGCACTATCAGAGACCAGATCTAAAGTAACAGAAGTGAAATCAAGAGAATTTTTTTCCACGGGACTCCCCCACCCCCTCAGCCTTGTTCTCAGCCTTGTTCAAACGCTCCTCCTCGTCACAGCTTTCAAGGACCTTACCCAGGGCCTTGTAGGTGGTGGAACTGCAGTAATTGCGAGCCTCACCACTCTCGTACAATTGCCGGGGAAACGGAGTTCCGGTTTCAAAGGATTTGATGAGGGACACAATCAGATTTTCCTCGCCAACTTCGTCAGCGACTATGTAAGCGTCGCGCAGAGGATCAGGGTTCAACATTGCGTAGTTAGGGACTCGTAAATGGTAGGATCTTCTGTGTGAAGGTGAGATCTAGGGAAAAATTATGTAGGAAAAATGCGACGAATAGGAGAGAGGAAAAGGCAGCAAATGAATTAGGGTTCTTATCAAGAACTCTCCAGAAGGTAAGGGGAAGGCCAGCCATCAGAATTTAATTTTGGTGGTTGGAAGTTGAGAAATCAGAGGAGTTTGGGGGAATTAGGTTAAATTAAATGGAGGGAATGGTTAGATTAGGTTAATTAGATTAAGTATACAATAATATGATTAAAGTAAAACAAGGGTATTTTACAAAAAATCTGAAATTATAATTAAGGGTAAAATTGTAATTGTAAGGGTTTTTGTTTACTAAATATAGAAAGTAAATAGATAGTTGCACAGAATAGTGAGCGGACTAAAATGGCAAAAGTTGCACATAAAAAAAACGGAGGGAGTAAAAAGAAAGATAGGAGATGAGCCTTGACGATTGAGATGGCGGCAACGTTGAATTCTGAATAAAGAAAGTGAAATGGCAGTGGATAAATGGGTAGTGGGAGTTAGTGGAGTTAAACGGTGCTGTTTAAGTGGGGGTGTAGGGAGTAATATATGCTTTAGAGTGTAGGGATAAATAATTAGCTTGCCAACCCATTTGGATCATAGCCTAATCAACTGCGAAGCCAAAACCCCGAGAGTTACTTAAGCAGCCCAACATACATGGCAAACGAGATACTCCATCCGTTTTTATATATTTGCTCCACTTTTTATTTTCGGCCGTTTTTTAAAACTTGCTCCATTTCCTCATTTGAAAAGTTTGTACAAATATTTAATTCATGGGATTTTCTATTTGATACCACTATAAATATGACTTTTCCATAATACTCTGTTAGTTGGAACGTTCACTACACTTAAGTGCTCGTTTAGTTCCCATGGGAATTAACTTCCCATGGGAATTTATATTTCATGGGAAATTTTTTCCTTTATGATTTTCCTAGGAATTGTGCTAAAATGTTTGGTTGACACTATAGGGAATTGCATTTCTTAGGAAATTCAACTCACCAAGGGGGGAGTTGGTGAGTAATTTCCCTTGGGTTGTGGGAATTTGTATTTCTTTTAAAATTGCTATTTTCCATGTTTAGCTTATTTTCCTCCAACCAAACACATCTTCATTTTAATACTTCTAAGGAAATTATCTTCCAACCAAACAAGCACTTTAAAGTTCCGTTAAATTACTAGATTTGCTATTTGGGAGTCCCGCTAGTCGCATAGTCCCTATATGCATTTTTTTGCATATAGGAGGGTAAAAGTGAAAAAGCACTTAGATTTGACATTCAGAATGATACTTTTTATGGTTACAGTGGTACATATTTTGTACAATTATGCATATATATTGTACCATTATGTCTTAGTAGTACTATTATATCTCACAGTGGTATAATATTTTGATGTACCATTTACATACTTATTTGTACTATTAGCTTAATATTTATACCACTACAACATTTAATGTTACTATTTACCTATTAAATGGTACTTTATAATCCCATTACAACTTTAACTTTATTACTACATTGTCATCCTATATGCAATGTTTGCATATTGGAGCTATGCGCTAGACCTTCTCCTGCTATTTGCCCTTTCTTGAAAATGACAGGTGGGGTTCTCTTTTGGACAACTCACCTCGTCCTTTACTTTTTCTATGGTGTATGCCTTTCTTCCTCCTCTAGTGTACGGTCTTTAATGGCAAAATGAAGCTCATCCTTTCCTCTTGCATGCTTCGTTCTTCACCAAAAAATCGACCTTGCCTTCAGTAATTCTGTTCCCTGTGCTTCTTTCATTTCTGCTTTATTTGTTCTATCATTATTGCTTCTTCCATCGAAAATTTCTGCAGTTTTATTTTTTATTTGTTCTGGTAACTGGTTTTTTATATGTCTTTGTATGCTTTTTGTTTGAATTTTTTTGTCAATTTCATCGTTGCAGGTTGATTTCGTTTGTGAATTATATGTTTGGTTCTGTATTAAAGCTCGGTTGTTAGTGGTATTTGCGTTAATTTGGCTAATATTTGTGTACGAATTAGCATAAAATTCGGTGAAAAAGTAGATATGAGCTATAATTTGGCTACAAATCAACTTAAATTTTGATGTTTCTTTTGATAATTATCGCCATATTTGTTTTTGGAGGGCTTCGATATCTTGTTTTTGACGGAATCACTGAACAACTTATGCAGAAATAAGGTGACATTGTGTAATCAAACTGAAGCCTAAGTAACAGATGACATTGTGTAATCAAACTGAACCTTAAGTATAATTGACGTCCTAATTAACAGAGTATTACTGAATTGATTAACACTAATCCTCGGTGGTACCGCGTGGAAGAAAAAAAAAAAAATTTGGGTACAAAATGATAAATTTATAGAGGTACCAGATGGAAAATCTCAATGGACCCAACCTAAATTATATTTTTATTAATTTCATATTCTCTCTGCTCTAATTTTTTTACAATTTTTTATTCTTTTACCTACCCCACTATCTCTATATTTTATTACTTTATCTAATTTTTCCTAAAACTCCACACATGGAGAAATGAAGCAAGTATTTAAAAACGGAGAGAGTAATTGAAATAATGTGTCAACTAAAAAAAAACATTTTTTTTAGGCTTTGTTTAGTTCAACTTATTTTTATTTATTTCAGAAAAAATATGTTCAGATCATATCATATCAGAAAAAATAAGTTCAGATAAATTTAGATCTTATTATTATTATACAAACCTTAGGTAACCTTAAGGGGCATTTAAGTCGGATAATGGAAATGGAATGAAAAGGAAACAAATAAAAAGGGGAAAAGAAATCATTTAAGTATCACCTTTTCATTTGTTTGGTTTGACCATGGAAAGAAATCGGTTAAACTTTACTCCCTTTGTTTGTGTTTGATCGAGGAGGGTATGGGTAATTGTTACTCTATGTTTTCGAGTGATAACAAATGAGAGGTAAAAGGTAAATATAATGGTTACCAAGTCTTCAAATCAAATACTTGATTACGATATCAGTTTAATCAAATCTGTTTCCAGTCTAAAAAATACACTAACCAAATATGCTATTAGTGTGTACTGTATTTATTTACATGGTTGACATTCAATGACAGAAAAATACAAGTAAGAAATTACTAGTAGACTAGTAGTACTGTACTATAGGCTTTATTTTTTGTGATGCTTGAAAGTCGAATGCATACTTGCGATAAAATTGTGTACTCTCTCATTTTTTTTATTATTATTTTTTGTAAGTTATTGCTATTTGCATTTTGGTTTTTTGTAAAGAGATAGACAGGTCGGAGTTGTTCAACGTGAAAAATGCCTTGTTATTGTAGTACTATGTACTGTGATGTGATGTAATTTGTCATAGCACAATATACAAAATAATTGTTACTCTTTACTCCACTAATTTATTATTATTATTATTATTATTATTATTATTATTATTACTACTTTCTCCGTTCTAGTAATATTGCAACAACTAGACTTTTACACTATTCATCACACTTATTTAACTACATATTATGATTTATACATAAAGTAAAATATAGTCATGTGGGGGTCTTGTTAGATTCGTCTCATAAAATACTTTCACATATTAACTTTTTATAATTTTTACTCTTATATAATTATAGATATTTAACATATAAAATTTGCTTTGAGATGCGTAATTTCATCCTTGTTACAATATTTGTGGAACAGGAAAAGTAATTTGTGTGTGTGTGTGTGTGACTGTGGGGTAAGAAATTAGTACTATAAATTAGAATGCCAAGAGCGTATGAGCAAGCAAATCCACTTCTAAATCAAGCATAATCGCATTTTCTTTCAAAAAGTGTTCAATATGTTGGGTTACTCCAAATTTGCTGTCTTTGCGTTTCTCATGCTTACCGCTTCAGGTATACTTTCTAAGTTAATTTGTAAATAAATGATGATGATATTTTTTTATGCTTCTATCTGATCATTGAATTAAGTTTTATATATAGTTTGTTGAATGAATTTACCGTCAATTATTTTTATTTCTAAACTACCCGCCCAACGAGTAGCAGGGTAGAGGAGTAGAGTTGATTCAGATTGTCCCATTAATATAAACAGGCTAGACCAATATCAATCACTTATAAGTTATACCTAACGCATATATTTTATTTGTCTCAAATTAATTGTAGCATTTGCTTTTTCAAGATTTTTGAAGACGCATATTTGATAAGACACTACTAGAAAACAGGCCATTTTCGACGAAATTTCACCTTGAATTCCATCAGAAAACACGTTTCCGATGGAATTTTCATCAGAACCGGTTGTCGGAAGAGGTTTCGTAAGGAAAACGACCTTTTACGACGGAAATTCCGTCGAAAACACTTTTCCGACGGGATTTCCGACAGAATTCTTTCGTCGGATGAGATTTTCCGGCCCCGGAAATTTCCGACGGACACAAATCCACCGGAAATTTTCGATACGGAAATTCCGTCGGGAACTGATTTAATGAAATTACAAAAAAAAAACGCCGCACCACCACCGGCACGGCGTATCACCACCTCAGAACACCACTAGCCCTTAACTAACCCTAACCCCAGACCACCATCAGACCGCCACTCCCTAAACTAACCCAAATCTACCCACTACCACCAACGAACCCTAACTCAGACCCACCCAATTTAGCCACCACCACCAAATCCTAACCCAGATTAACCAACCACCACCACCGAACCCTAACCGAAAACTAACCCAGATCCACCAACCACCACCATTGCACCCAAACCCTGACCCACCTAACCCAAACCCTGACCGAACTCTAACCTAGATTTTCCCAAATCCTAAACCCACTTAGCTCAGATCTAAACTATCGTCACCCTTACCCTAAACCCACACTACAAGAAAACAGCTTGATTCCGACGGAAAAAATCCGTCGGAAACATCGGAAATTCCGTCTGAAACTAGCCTTCCGACGGAATTCCGTCGGAATCCGTCTATCGCAAAACCCTTTGTAGGAAATTCGACCTCGTCGGAAGGCTAGTTTCCGAGGGAATTTCCGACGGATTTATTTCTGTCGGATCGGCCCTATTTTGACTTTAATTGAAATTCTGTCGCAATTTTCTGACGGAAATTTCCGTCGGAGTTGGTGAGGTTTCCAACAGAAATTTCCGTCGGAAGAGGTATATTCCGACGAAAATTTTCGTCGGAAAAGTCAATAAAAAAAAAAAAAAACCAGCCGCACCCTTAACCCTTACCCCACCCAGATTCACCCTGTCCACACCTCCCCCACCCCACCCATCCACCCACCCCTGACCAGACCCCCACCCCCACCCTGTCGAGCCACCACTACCCCACCTGACCAACCCCCTAACCCACCCACCCAGAAAAACGAAAAAAAAAATTTACCAAATCGAAAAAAATAAAAACGTAAAATCCGAAACAAAAATTACCACAAAAACAAGATCTAAACCAGTAAATATGCATATTTGATCTGAATTTCAATTAAAAAAAAAAACCGACAATTCAATATTATCATTACAAATATCTAATAAATTTATAAACTACAATTACAATTACTAAAATAATTAACTATAATCATAAATGTTCAAAAACAAAACAAAATCTACAATTTAACCTTAACTAAAACTAGATTTACAAAAAAAAAACCTTGGTGTTGTTGCGACGGTGGTCGTTGTTTCGCGGTGGTGGTGTTGTTGTGGAAACCTTGAGATGCTCGCGCGGTGGTGTTGTTGCGGCGGTGGTTGTTGGTTGTCGATGTTGCTGGTGTCGTTGGTTGTTGGTGTCGGTGCGGTGGTCGAAGAGGACGAAGAAGGAGAAGGAAGGAGAAGAGGAAAGAGGACGAAGAAGGAGAAGGAAGGAGAAGAGGAAAAAGGACGAAGAAGGAGAAGAGAGAGAGAGATTGGGCGGAGGAGAGAGAGAAAGAGTGGGCGGAGGAAAGAGAATGAAGGAGGAGAGGAGGTCAGAGAGGAAGAGAAGAGGAAAGAGGAGAGGAGAGGAGAGAGAAAAAGAAGAGAGGCGGAGGAGAGGAGAGAGAAAAAGAAGAGAGACAGGAGGAAGAGAAGGTGAGAGAAAGAGAAATGAGAAGGATAGAGAACCGGTTTCTTAGGGTTTGATTTTTTTATATTATTAAATTTCGATGGAATATTCCGTCGGAATATTCTGACGGATTTTATTTCCGTCGGAATCTTCCTAGGGATTTTAATTCCGTCGGAAAACCCTTATATTCCAACGGATTTTTATTCCTTCGGAAATTTCCGACAGAATATCCGACGAAATGAAAATCCGTCGGAATTTCTGACTTTTCCGACGGAATTACGTGTCCGTCGGAAACAGGCCGTCGGAAATCGGCCTATTCTAGTAGTGCCACCTAACACAGACCAACCAAACCCAAACCCAGATCCACATAAATCCTAACCCAAACCCTGACCAAACCCACACCCAATCCGACCCACCTAAAACCATCATCATGAACGGCCAAACCAACCACCACAGGCCAAAATTTTAATAAAAAATTCAAAAACAAAAATTAAAAACATTAAAACGTACCTTTAAAATCGAATTAGCTTCGAATTTCTCCTTGAACTTGGTTTACTAAGGCCAAATTCGAACATGAAAACTCTAGATCTAGCATTTTCATGGTCGAATTTGACCTTAAAAACCATTAATGTGTTATAAACCATCACCATTATCGGCTTTTACCCACCATGGAAAAAATCAGAGAAGAGAAGAAGAGGAGAGGGGCGTGAGAAAAAATCAGAGAAGAAAAAGGGCGTGAAAAGGGAAGAGGAAAGAGGAGAGGAGAGGAGAGAGAAATAGAAGAAGAGAGGAGAGAGAAATGAGAAATGAAAGGGGGAGGGGGATAATTCCGTTTTAATTAGGGTTTTGGTTTTTTTTTTTTATAAAAAAACCATAATTCCGTCGGAAAGGGTTTAAATTATGTCGGAAATCTTCTACGGATTTGAAATCCGTCGGAGATTAATTATTTTCCGTCGAAAACTAAGTATTTTCCGATGGATTTAAATTTCCGACGAAAATCTAAATTCGTCGGAAATTTCCAACGGAATTTAAAATCCATCGGAAATTTCGTTTTTTCCGACGGATTTTCGTGTCCATCGGAACACATCCGTCGGAAATTGACCTTTTTCTTGTAGTGAGAGTAACAAGCTAGTTTAAGGTGATAGGTACATAATAACCATGTCCCTTTTTTTTTGTTTTTGTTTGTCAGCTGTAATAGATGCGAAATTTCAACCAATTATTCGATCAAGTACCACCCCAAAAATCATGACTCAAGAGCTCTTGGAGGCCGAAGTGAAAGCTTTGGCATCACTTAGAGAAGCTGAACAAGCTATTGCTTTAAACTTGAAGCAAAAGTTATACACAAATGGGCTTGATTGTTTCCCATTAGGAAGTATATGCTCCGGTTTTGGACCTCCGGATCAATGTTGCTCGGGCGCTTGTGTTCCTCATCCTATAAAGAGGATATTTTATTGTGATGAAATTAAAGGTGTTTAAGGGATTTATCGTCTCTATACCTTTGTTATGATCGTAGTCTACGACTCTACTAGCTAAAATAAATTTGACAAAGGTTGGATGAGGAATTCATGTATGTCTACTTTAATTTCTGTAGTACCAATTCTTGGATTAAGATGAAAACTTGGCTTCTAATTTCTCTTAATGCAAGACTCTATCATGTATTATTATTATCTATAATGAATGGAGACATCCTTTTTTTTTTTTACCCTTGTTATTGTTCTTGTTTTTAATTAATTAAGCTTGATCTATTAAAATAAAGGGAAATTCTCAATAGTGACCCCTAATTTCTGCTACGCACTAATGGTCACCTCCCTTTTTTTTTTTTTTACTATACAAAATGACCCTAATTAAGAAATTTATCTCACATATGACATTAATGAGTGTTATTTATTTTAAAAAAACTAACTATGGTTAACTTTGAAAAAAAAAAACCACCAACCCAACCACCACCTTCACCCTCATCCCCACCAGATGTAGCCAGCACCACCTCCACCCTCACCGGAGCCACCATCACCCTACCTCCACCTTCAACCCATCACCGCACAACCCCAGCGCAACAACTCCGATCCCTCGCACAAGAGCCCGCAACAAAGTATGTTTTAGTGTGAATTTTTTGATAATAACAAAGTCCCACATTGGTGGGAAATGAGAGTTTTTCCTTCTTTATAATGTAGTTTGTGGTATACTTGGGTGTGGCCTAAGGGCTACCCACATTTTGTGGAGAGAGAGGACTTACCTACTGAATCAACCCAACACACGCGCGCGCCGAACCGAGCCGAGCCGAGCCGGGTTGGGTCGGGTTTATTAAACAAACTTAATTTTTTATACAGTTTTTGAACAAGGCTTCATTACGTAATTAGTGCCTTGATTTTTGCTAACCGTTTTGACTGATTCTTTATTGTTTTAAATCCCGTTATTCATGGTTGATTACAGCTTTGTTCCAGATTTTATGCTAATTAAAATATGACTGTTTTGAAGCCGTTTTGCTCTTGAATTCTGCCGTTTAATTAGTACCGTTTACTGAGTTAATGGTGCGTTAATTTTGCTGGACCGTTTTCTGATTTAATGATGCGTTATTTTTGCTTAAAATGTTCAAATCAGCTGGCCTATATATACGGCATTCTTCGGTGTTTCAAAAGACAGAAAACTCATTTTTCCTAATCTTCTCTTCTTCCCCCTTAAATACATAATTTCAGCAGTTTTTCAGTTTTTGGTGTTTAGTTAGCCCGGTGGTTCAGTGCAAATCCATCGGTACTTTATAGTTTTGAGAGACTGTTTTATCCTGGGGGACATCCGGTTACCTACGAGCTGTATGCACACATTTTTTGCAGTACCGTGAATGTTCTAAAGAGAGCGACATAGTCCGCGACACAGTCTTATTCCCGATAACATTGTTCTTATTATTTTTGTTCCCGCGAATTTCGTCTATAACATTTTTATTACTGTATCTTCAAACAATTGGGATTTTAATTCCCTTAAATAGTTGTCAGCATATAGTCATGAAATTAGATCAATTCTTTTAGTTTTGCTATTTATGGTCAATATGGCTAGGGGCCGGATAAGTGATTAGTTCTTTCATCAAAATGATTGAACAAGTAGAACGATAATAATTCATCTTCAATTCAGTTCTTCACCCATTTAAAATAAAACCATTTTCCTAATACCAAAATCAGCGAAATTGACCTTAAAATTTACTTGGAATTTTATGTAAGATGGGATATTAAACTATCAACAAGATCATCATACCAACAATAGATAAATGGGAGGAATTGAAAAGAGCATTGTTGAAAATCTAGATTTATTACACCCTCCATGTTTTAATAAGTGTTACACTTACCAAATACAGTCATGTTTTGATAAGTGTTACACTTCTTTTATTTTTGGAAAAAAACTACATTTTAAAACTATATCTTTTGTCTTTTATGGTCTCCACCCAAATCCAATACTACTTTTTTTTTTAAAACTAGGGTGGCTAACGCACGCGATGCACGCGCCGTAGCTAGCTGTCATTTCCAGGGAGCTCTTTCATTTGTTGGTAGCATATTGCCAAAAATTATATATTTAAACATATATTTTTAAGGGTATAAATGTCCACATACTATTTAATGGGTTTAAAAAAAAGGCAAATAACATTAATGAAAACAAATAAGTAAATAAATATTTTTGAGGGTATAATTGTCCAAACACTATACATAAAGTTAAATCACCAAATCTGCATATTATTTTACGGTTTAAAAAAAAGGCAATTAACATTAATGAAAGCAAATAAGTAAATAAATATTTTTGAGGGTATAATTGTCTAAACACTATGCGTAGGAGTTAAATCACTAAATCACACAAGGAAAATCTTAGAAACAATTAATATCATATCAACAAGGGCATATAAGTAAACAAACTTTTTAAGAATATAATTGTCCTCACACGCACTATTCATATGTGTTTTTCTCATATTTAGCTTTTTAAAAGGTAGGGATTTCTTTCTTCACTCATTAATTAGTTTTCAATAAACTATTAACCCCACTATCTTTCTTTTACAAATTTTTAATACTCTAATTATCCTTCTTACCTCTTATTTTATTTAAGTCAATTAACTTGCCTAAAATTATGTGCCGGTCAAAGTGTAACACTTATAAAAACACGGAGAGAGTATAGGGTTTTCTTGACGGAAATTGTTAATAAGTGGTGGTGAAATCTAATTTTTTTTGTTTTTTTAAGTGGTATTTAAAATAAAAATTAAAATAGATAGTTGATTCAAAAAGTGAAATATTTTTGGGTTGTAAAATCAAAATAAACTCTATAAAAATTTGAAATTTTATGTTGCAGAAATATCACATGTTGCAATTTAATTTTCTTCTAGACTTGACCCATATTTTTTCTTATTGTAGAACGATTATTTTTTTTTTTTAATTTTTTTTTTTGGTGTTTAGAGAGTCACTAGTGCGGGTGCTGAGAACCTTTGTTAGTGAAATTGTTAACTTTTTTCTCAAATTGTTTTTCTTTTACAGGTTTTCACTCGTCGAGTTCTTTACTTTGCCTTGTCTCGTTTCGTTCTTTTCTTTCTTAGTTTCTAAGTCTATTATTTGCATCATGAATGGAGTTGTACTACAAGTCATGGAAAACTCTAAGGAAGTAATTGAAGGTGCTGAAAATACTAACGTTGATTCACATGTTGGTGTTGATACCAACATGATAGATGACACTATTGATTCAAGGGCGGTCGATGTTCAAATTATGGATTATGAGTAAACAAAGGATTCTGCTTTGCCACAAACTAAATCTTTGCCAAAGCAGTCATTCAGAGAAGTTGTAATGGCCTCATAACAGTGGTTTTTCGAAGCACAGAAAATTGTTATCACCTTTAGGCCTCCACAATGGTTTTCTGGAGCTGTTTCTTTTCAAAAGGAAACTTTAGAAAAACTACGACAACCATGGTAGTTAACTTTGATGAGAAAATGCTTGCGAATGTCAATTCGCCCTTCATTTATAACACAACGAGTTATAGCTATGTGGAGGCCTAAAAGTTCTCTCAAAGTGATTGATCTAGGAAAGGATGTTTATCTCTTTCGATTTTCAATTCAAGATGATTATGAAAGAGTCTTGCTAGGGGGACCGTGGTTTTTCCTTAATCATTATTTGATGATAAAAAAATGGAAACCAAATTTCAGACCTTCCATGAATCCTTTTGACAGGATGTCCGTATGGATAAGTTTTCCGAAATTACCAGTGAAATACTACGACAAAGAAGCCCTCTTCAATATTGCAAAGTTGGCCGGAAATCCTCTTCGTGTTGATTATGCAACTAATCATCTTACTCGAGCAAGATATGCTAGGGTTTGTTTAGATATCGATCTAACTATCCCTTCAATCACAAATGTTTGGGTTGGAATTAGTTAGCAATCTATTGAGTATCAAAACTTACAATGCCTTTGTTTTACATGTGGAAAAATAGGCCACACCAAGGAAAAATGTAACCAAAAAGGGGTTGTGGTTTACAATGGGAAAAGTACACAACCTAACCCAACTACTACAAAAAATGATTTGATAATGGTAGAAAAGTCTTCATCTTCCACTATCCATGATTCAAGGGTCTTTGTTCCCTATTCTTCAAATGAATATGGTCCTTGGACTATAGTTTCAAACAAGAAAAAGTATAATCAATCCAAGCTTCTTAATAAAAAAAAGTAAAACTACTACCCAAGTTGCTATTAAGCCCAGCCAAAGCCCACAAACAAATCCTAACTCTAAGCCCAGTCCAATTCTAAAGAAAACTAAAACATCTCAAGATGTTGTGAAGCAAAAAATAACAACTACTTCTTTAATCCCTTTGCCGTTTTGGATTCCTCTTCTCAATCATCACCCAATCAAATTAGTTATAAAATAATAAATGGCAATGATGAGAAATTTCTTGAAAATAACACACAGAATCCCCCAAATCAATCTTCTATCCTTCTATCCCCACACGCTTCCTCTTCCTCTCCCATTGCCTTCTCCACAGACCTCTCTTGTCATTTGGCACTAAGAAACTTGGCTTCAACAATGGTGATACATGCAAACCCTTCGAATTCCCCTATATTAAACCAAAACTCACAGGATATGATCACCAAGATAAACCAAAACACAGAAAAACAAACCGAGAAACTCACCACAAATGGAGAAGAACAAAGCAAAACTAACCCAAATTCGACCTCCACGGCGCTTGGTAAGGATCTCCCGAAAAGAATCCCTATTTTCACCGCGACAACAACCAATACCAGTAACCGTACCCCTCTATCATCAGCCAGATCCCGAATTCTCCAGGGTCAACCAATCACTCCAGCACAGCCAATTTCGATAAGAATGCCATTCTCACCTTACCCCCACCCTCCGCCTCCATCAACCCACTTTCCGTTCAACACCTCCATGACCCCAGATCAGATCAGGGAGATTGTTCAAACCCTGGCAAACCCTCCGACACCTCTCCTATGGTTGTCGATCGAAACCCCGCCAAATAAGGCAATGATAGAGATGATGTACAACACACTCCTCCAAATCAACAAGCTAATGAACACCCAATTCCCACAACAAACATCACCGAATCCCCCACCTCTTCCGCAACAAACCCTTCGACCATGGTATCAACAACAAGTACCATGACTGAATTACTAGAACCACAACCTTGTTCCACCGCCAAACAACCCTCAAATAATTAATCTCTCTTCGGAAAACAGCGAACAAGACCTAGAAAGCCCAGAACACCATATGGAAATTTTCAAGATCACAAAAGGGGTGGTGGGGCTTCAAATAGAAGTCAATTTCTGGGAAATGACAAACACGATCAGGGATCTAGACTCAATGGTGATTCCTTTGAAGATGCAAGGCATTGTTCAGATGGGTCGAGCAATGACGTGGAAGGAATGGGATAAATTTGATCCCTTGTTCAGTAATGGTAATCCGATTCCTGATTTTCCCGATCTTGATATGAAGATTGTGACATGGAATATAAGGGGAGCCACTAGGAATGAATTCATACCTCACGCTTGGGAGGTTATTGCTGCTCACAAGCCTATTATTTTTATCATTCTCGAAACCAAGAGTGATGGAAATCGGGCAAAGCAAGTTGCTAAATTACTTGGCTTTGATGCTTTTGAATTTTTCAACCCGAATGGCCTTAGGGGAGTGTAGACACCTGATTATGTCTCCTCAAAAACCAAACCCAGCGATGAGTACCTTTCATGTCTTTGATTATCGAGTTAAGTGAAGAGTTGAAGAGTCTCGTGAATTTCCCTTAAGACTTGACCATTTCTAACCTTTCCTAATAATGTTTTAATCCAAAATCATTCATTTCGTGTCTTTAAACCCAAAATCATTCATTTCGTGTCCTTAAAATCATTCATTTCGTGTTCTATTTATAAAATTGTCTAAACCAGTTTATTTTGGTCCATAATGGGTCCAATAATTGTGCAGTTTTATGAGGATTGAAAAGATCTTTCTAACGATGTATTATAAGCCCAAATCCGACTTAAAACGAAGAAGTTATGGCCAAATACTAAACTGAGCCCAAACCAAGCCTATGTCCACCTAACTTATGGCCCAATGATCATGTGGAGGGTCCAAATACCTTAATCCCATTCCTAAACCATTTAGGATTCATTGGGAACTTATAGAAGTCTCTAGAAGGTTCTAATCTATCCTTTACGAAAGATAAAGATCAAAGAGTTTGAAATTGAATAAAACTCCTCTTTTTGAAAGTCCTTATTCTATTCGAATTCAAAGACAGTCAGATATGATTTTCGTGCCTCATAACTTTTATCCAAATCTTAGATGGTTGGATAGCCCTTGAAATTATCTTTCCAATAATATATCATAATCCTATTTTCGAGCTATAACAAAAAAAGATAGGAACGAAATACCAAACTCTATCCAAAACTGATACCGTCCTACTATTTCGGACATATCTTTTAATTTAAAAAAGATTTTAATCTGATTCTAATTGGGTTGGAAAGTAGATTTCTAGAGCTTTCCAAATACATATTATTTATCTTATTCCGATTTCTGGATCAAAAGTTATGATAAAAACAAAAACCGCAAAAACTGTTATCCATGCGAAGGAGTTTTATTCCTATTCGAATTCGGATGTTTTCTAATCCTTCGACTATCTTTTTTCCCTATAAATAGAGGTCATATCACCCTGTTTTCAATCATCAACAATCTTGATCACCAACAATCATCATCTAATCTCCCTCTCTAAGCTATAAGCTTCTTTCTCTCTCTTTCTTAGCCTAGCCTAAACACATCCCAACACCTTCTTGATATCATACACCATACTTCCTTCACGAGCTTCGAATACTCCAAGCCCTTCTCGAAGTTGCCTTCGACCTCGACGTGAAAGGTTGATAGTTCTGAGGGTTTGGTCCCAAATCTATATTTTAATTCTTATTTGATTTATTGGATTTATTTCTTTCTTGAAGTTATTAACGCGTGTATTGTTTTAATAAAAAGAGATACGAGGTATCAAAGTGAGTAGATCTACTATCCTTATTCCTTTGATATAGAAATCATGCTTAGAATATTATTTTAATTCCTCCTATCATGTTAGGATGTCTTTATAATTTCTGGTATCATGTTAGGATGTCTTTATGATTTTTAGTATCATGTTAGGATGTTGATTTTGATTTCTAGTAATATGTTAGGGTGTTATTTTAATATTTCTAATATCATGTTGCTTTCTAGTATCATGTTTAGGCTAAAGCTTTGATTCTTTTTTATTTAGTGACATGCTAGGGTTTGTTATTAATCCTTTTAGTATCATGCCTAGAATCTTGCTAATTTTATTTTGGAGATATTGATATTATGATATATTGATTATGATGATGATGATTGTTATGTTAATAATTATACATTGCTTGATATATTATTCATATATTATTGTTATTGCTTGATCACGCCCTCTCTTGCAGGTTTAAAAGGAATTTGTACTTGAAATCACGCTTAATTAATAATTTTGATTTAGGCTTAATATGATTTTATTTCAAGTGATCACCAATAATAGGTTTATTTGTGCATTAATAATCAACCAACATAGATTAAACAGGTTTAGCGCTAACTTGTTGTATGTATGTTGATCGGGAAGCGCACATGAATATCATAAGAATTAAGTAGAGGTCGATTTAGGGCGGGTTCAATCTCTTTTAGATTGGATTCGTACCATCATCCCCGATTATCCAGTCATGGTTCCGGACCACTATGGAGTCAGCAATCTTCGTGATCGTGAATGGGGTGTAAACCTTCACACCCGTGAACGGTTTACAAGTTCCTAAAACTTGTTGGAGAATCTTTTGCTCTAGCTTCTTTCCCTTTGGATGCTACCATGCTTAAGTGTATGATCACAGTGGGGCTCAAAGTTGATGCTTGAAATATTCCCTACATGAAGGTATTTGGCTAATGTACAAAAACAATGTTGAACTTATTCAATATCTAGAAGGGAATGAAGACTAGAAATTACTTCCATGCTCTTTTTAAGTTTACCCCTCAAAGCAAAGAAGTACTCTTAACTGTTGTTCATGCTCCTTCTTCCGCTGCTAAAAGACACAAGTTATGGAATGATTTACAAGCTTCTCTACCTCCAGATAATACCCCATGGATTTTTTGGGTTATCTGAATGAGGTTACCAGTCCTTCAGATAAATCAGGGGGCCTAAAATTCAGGCAGTCTCAATGTACTAATCTTAACAAGCTAGCTGAGGCTGCATGCATGGTCGATTTGGGGTTCTCTGGAAACCCTTTCACATGGCATAATGCAAGAGAAGGCCTCAGTTTGATTCAAGAACGATTGGACAGGGCAATGGGGAACCCGAGCTGGCTGAACACCTATCCTAACACTCAGGTATCTTACCTCGCTCGAACTTATTCAGATCATAGTCCTATTTTAATTAGTTTATTTGATAATCGTAAAGGTGGTCCTTATCTTTTTAGATGTAAAGCTGCATGGTTAGAACACTGTGATTTCACTAGTTTCTTTGTTAACAATTGGGATCTACATAATTTTGATTTTCTTAAAGGCAAGAATGAGTTTCTGGCAAATGTCAAGAATTGGAATCATAATATTTTTGGTAACATTGCTTATCATAATATTTTTGGTAACATTGCTTATCAATAAAAAAGATTGGTGGCTAGAATTGATGGTATATATATTGCCCTTTCTAAAAAGTATTCGGCTTTTCTTGTTAATTTGGAAAAAGATCTGCTTTTTGAATTGAACCATATTTATAAAGTTGAAATAATAATTATTTATGCTCAAAAGTCTAGTTTGTATTGGAGGAAAAACGCTGCCTGTCACACCAAGTATTTCCATTTAATTGCTAATATTAAAAAAAACAAGAGGAAAAGTTTTAACTTTGCAAGATAATGATGGTAATTGGATAATAGATTTAAACCTTTTGAAATCAATGGCTAGAGATTATTATTTAAATGTTTACAAAAGTGTTGATATTGATACTAATTTGATGAATAATTATCAATACCCTAAAGTTAATTCGGTTTGTTCTAACCCTAGTTTTCTTTTGCCCCCCACTAAAGAAGATATCAAATCCCTTCTTTTTCAGATGGACCCCATATAATCCCCTGGCCCAGATGGCATACAACCAATTTTCCTTCAGCATCATTGGTTTACTCTTAGTTGTTCAATCAAGGTGCCTTATAAATATAAAATGCTTCTCTGGAATTTGGTTAGAGATATCTTACCCGTAGGCACCACTCTCAAAAAGAAAATACATTTCTTTGATCCAATTTGTATGAGATGTGAGGCCCCTGTGGAGACTCTATTCACATTTTCAAGGATTGCCCAAACTCTTCTGCCTTTTGGTCTTTGGTTTTTTAAAAATTCAATCATTTAAGTATTAATTTGCAGCGTTTTTATAATATAATACCAATCTCTCAGATTGGTTGGATTTTAATCTCACTAACACTTCCTCTTGGAAAACTGTTTTCTCTGTTGCTATATGGCATCTTTGGAACACTAGGAATGTTGCTATCTTTGAACAAAAAATGGTTTTCATTCAATCTACTTTTAACAAGTTCTATGTTGATTATATTTTCCGTTTGAGATTGTTGGAGATTAAGTGGCCTCTAAAGTCTATCCTATCTCAAGCAAGTATTTGTTACTTGATCTACATCACTTAAGGGGATAATATCTATTTTTTAGGAAAGTAAATAGGATGATATTTATCCCGTTGAGAGTTGGTTAAACCTAAAATCTTAAGTGATAAGGACTCCTAATATTATAAATATGACATCCTTTGTAGCCAATATACGTACAATTTCACAGAGAAAATAATCCACACAATTGAGAGTGTTTTCCATTAGAGTCATCGTCCTAAACTCTGGGTTTTGGAGTGTGACAATTGTTGAGGACTCTAGTAGCCCTCCCGGTGCAGATTGTTAGGCGAGTTCTACATCTTGTTGAGTTTCCGCTTAAGTGGTAAGTATTGTGACTTACCCAATTAATTCCTATAGAGATTAAACTAGGCAACTATGGACAAACCTTCATCTTACACTACTCAGATTCCTAGAATTTGGGCTCCACCTCAGAAAGGTTCTATAAGCTCAACACCAATGGCTCTTGGATGAGTATAGATAATGCTGGCGGGGGAGGGGTGATCAGGTGTGAAAAAGGCATTTGGCTCACGGAATTTGCAATGAAATTCAATGCCGTGACCGCAGCTTCTGCTGAACTTTTGGCCATAAGGGAAGGTTTGCTTATAGCTTGGGATAAGAAGATCAAATACCTGGAACTTGAAACAGATGCTGAGTCTTTAACTAAGATGTTGAAGGATCCAAAATCTTTTGAAGATCACGACTTAGGCAATGTTATCAGAGATGTTGGCTCCCTTTTGGAAAGGGACTGGAATGTTAATGTTTTCCATGCTAGTAGGTCTGTTAATTTCGTTGCAGAAGTGGGAAGGACTAAGTACAAGACGGGAGAGAAGGTTCCCTTCTCCTACCCTCCTGCTGAAGTGTTTCAGACATATGCTACAGAGATCCCAGGAATGCATTCTGCTCCGTTGCTTAGTTTCAGACTTGTTAATCCCTCTAGGACTATCTTTTATAGTACTTTAGTTTATGCTGCTATCTTTTGTATAAAGCTAAACTTGGATGATTATGAGTGGCTTTATATGCGCTCTAATTGTCCCACTTTTGGTCTGATGATTTCGATCATCAGATGCTCTATCTTCTAATATAATTAGTAGTTCCCTTTTGTGTTAAAAAAATAACGTTGTTATTACAATCATATATATTCAACTAATCCTATTCTTTGTGAGAAAATGATAGGACATCACAAATTCTTATATGTGACTGACCACGTGGTAAACCAGTCATCATGGGGGTTACTCGGTCAATGCTACAGAAGTTCTTGGTCATGTTATAAGGGTTACTTTGTTCTTTTACAAGCGGCAACATGGTGTGGCCAGTCGAACACAAAACGTGTTGGTAAGACATTCATTGAAACTAAAAAGCGAAATTCTTACCTACCTTTTAAAAAATATGAGAAAACACTTATGAATATTGTGAGGACAATTATACTTATATATTCCTATTAATATGACGTTAATTGCTTCTAAGCTTTTCTTTTATGTGATTTAATGATTTAACTCTTATGAATAGTGTTAGGACAATTCTATTCTCTAAAATATTTATATATCTATTTGCTTTTATTAACGTTAATTGCTTTTAAAAAAAATTTAACAATAGTGTGCGAACATTTATACCCCTAAAATATCTGTTTACATTATCTCTTTTCGAAAATGGCTAGCTATAGAGCGCGCAATACGCGCGTTAGCCACCCTAGTTATTTGAAAAATATTTAAAACATAAACAATTTACCTTACAAATGGAGAATCATTAAATACCCTTAAAATTAATGTTATTAAATAATAAGTACATTTGTTCAAAAAAAAAATAATAATAATAAGTACATTTGTTCAAAAAAAAATAAAAATAAAGTACATGAATTTATTTGAAACTCAAGTTATACAAGATAAAATTGAATACTACGTAAGTTCTTGCAACCTTTCCTGCACTCTAGAAGTCTCTACTCCAATCCTTGAACTCCGAGCCTATAGTACAATAAGAAAAATTCTTGTGTTACTTGACTTACTTCCTGTGTTTAATTTTAAGCAAGTGCTACAAATATTATTTACGTGGATCTCAATTTATTTGCCACATATCATAATTACATGTCTTATGGTTTTTTTTTTCCCCTACTCAATTTACTTTATTCTAAGCATTCTACTTTGCTGTCTCACTCATTTAATATCAACTATAAATAAATAAAAATAAAAAATAAGATAAATAAAAGTTACCCTAGCATGGAGAGTGTGGAAGACATTGTTCCCCGAAGTCGAGAAGGTAGCATTGACGACTTCAGCCCCTTTTTCCTCAAGAACCCTAATCACTTCATGTAACTTGATATCGCGCTCACCTCGTTGCACCACAAGTTGCACCTCTAAACCACAACCCAATTCTTTCACTTCAATACGATGGGTAATAAGCCAGAATTATATGTCATCATCGTCGTATCATTAGAACGTAAGTTTTCGGTATAAGAAGTACTTCCTTCTTGATTAACCATTAATTGATCTCTTCTCTGGCTTAAGTTCTCTACTCTTTCTCTCAACTCCACTATGTAATTTGTTGTTTGTTCTATCTGATCAGCTTGAGATAGTGTATCCTACACAACAAATATTTGTTTAACATAGTGGTTGTTTGAAATATGACTACCGTATTATTTTAATGATAAAACAATATGATCAATTGGGTTATTTTTTGTCATTATAATATTATCTTAATTAGTGTTTTAATATTTACCATGAAAATATAATTTTTGAAAATTAATGTTAATCCAACGTTAAAAGAATTGTTTTTCGAGATATTATAAAAAATAAAAAATTACATAAATAAAACCAAAAATTGGATAAATAAAAAAATGTTGATGATGCTATTTTATACCAAAAATAAAGAAATATACTTTATTATTTGAGAAAAATAAGTTAATTATGGACTAAAGAATCATTACTCATATAACATTATGATAGTTATATTTCAAATGACTATTGTAAAATTTTCAATAAAATATGCTCTAAAATATTGAAATGAAAAAATAATAGAAGGCGGAAGATGTAACCTTGTACTAGGTTCCTTAGTCGTGAAATAAAATCCGCAAAATCATTTATTAGGAGACAACATTCACAAGTATATAAACAACTTTCATCTCCTCTACTTCAATTCGTATATACAAGTATATTACAACACAATTTGGTGTGTACATACAGTGTACACCGGAAACATACATGTTAAGCACGGTCTTAAGAATTACAGCATAATAGTCTCATGATTTCAAGAACAATATATAATATACTTTTAGGGTATAATTTCTTGAAAGATAAGATCAACTCAGATCTCTTAACACAAATATATGTTTACATTTTAACTTCTTAATATCACCTACAATTCATGATTTAGCTGCTAATAATCTGGATAGCCTAAGAATTGAAGTTCTAACAGCTAGGGCTAGTTGGTTCATTTGGTTCAACCTCTAAAAAAGATAAATAGCTTATTGTGTATTGTAGTTCATGTCGATCTAGCGACTGGCGTATAGCCTTAGAAACAAGATAATCTAGGCGGCTACGGTGCATTCACCTTACTAGGTTTTACACAGCAGCACTTGAAGTGGTGTACTTAACCCATCAATCAATTAATATCATCATTATAACTCACAATTTAACAACCAGGAATAATCCAAGATTGAATGAAAAGTAGAAGAAAAATAATTGAAAGATCAATGCAAACAATAGTTAGGTTATTCTAGGTAAACAAAGATGTACTGTATAAAGATTTATACAAAAAGATTATATATTAACCATAACTCTCTTGAATCTTAGAGAGGATACTAAAGATTATAGCTCAAAAATAATGAAAAAAACAAGGATCACAGTGCCTCGATCTGGGCTATTTTAATTTAGACCTCAAGAGAGAAATTAAACAAAGAAAACCTAATTTTCCCGAATATAGTTAATAACCCTAGCTACGACTATTGGCTTGAAAATAAACCTAAAAATATGTGAAATCTAGACAACTCATTTAAACCATCTTCAGTTACTTGAGGAAGACCTAAATCTGAAGAGCTAGTAAATTACATCCTTGCTTATAACTCAACTTTGCGGTGTTTCAAGGCAGTTTGTACCAGTATAGACGACCAAGCAAATTACAGTTAAAGTTATGGATACTCTTGGATTTAATCTGTATATATAATAATTGCATCTATCCAAAGTAACCTATACATATATGTAGCACAAAATCAAGCAAAAATAGCATATTACTAGTAAGAAATTAATTATACGACCCGAAATCGATCATATACATAAGCACTGAATTATGAAATTGTTGAGGAGGAATAATAGAAGTGAGGGTGGAGCAAAGTTGATTGAAGTGAGATCTGTTTCTCTTAGCAGCATAACTATTCTTTCTTTGCGGCTGATGCTTAGACGATGAAGAAGGCGTTTCGCAACTACTTTTCATGATTTAAACGGCCAACGCTATTATTAAGTTATTCTTTTTGTAGGAGACGTATCAACTCTTAACTCCTTAATCTTGTCCAAGTCTCGTTTAGGGGATCATTTTTTCCCCCTATTTTAAGTAAGTCTTGGTCTAGCTTAATCTTTCTTCTTTGGACTGCATTATGTAATTAAGTCTTCTCATTTAACATTTGTCAATACATATATAATCTCTATCACTAATATTTTTAAATGCCAATGTACTACAAAGTATAAAATTTTATCATCCCTTCATTTCACAATGATCTTCCCGCTTTAATCATATATATTTGTCAATACATTACTTTGATCAATGGCCATTAATATCTTTATTAGTTACATATTTGTAAAAAAAAAAAAAAAAAAAAATTAACAATTTTTTTGAAAGAAAGAAAAATAACAATTGAATATTATTACTAAACTACTTATTGAGCCGAATTAAATAAGATCCAACATGATTGTTACTGTTTTATCTCTTTAGAGTAATTTAGAATATTCTCTCATTTTATGAATAGTGTCAATATTCCTGTACAAAAAAATAAAAAAAAGAATAGTGTCAATATTTTTGTTTTTTGAAACAGAATAATATCACTGTCAATATCCTCGTCATAAAAAAAAATTAAAAAAAAAACTGTCAATATTTTAAATGGAAAGATCATTGTAAAATGAATATAATACTCCGTATTATATACTCTATATAAAACTATAAATCATGACAAATATAAGGCGAATTAGTGGATCTCAAATAGAAGACCACTGAGTTTTTTCATTCATATAACTATTTATTAGTGGATCTCAAGCCAAAAGTGCTAACTCACATATTGTATTGATTCGGATGAAATTTTTTATTAAGACGATCATTGATCAATTTTGGGATAAAACTAGCTCTGAGTTAATTTGTACTTGTATTGGAATTTTAAAATTTTCAAAAAACTGTTTGTTAGTGTCATTATGTTTTTCTTATCTCCCATTCCTACATATGCAATGATGTTTTTTTCTTCTTCTTCATGCGCACCATAACCCGTAACACACGGCCACGTGCTATTAAAATTTGCTTGCAATATAGTAGGCCCATTTGAATCATAGCCTAATAAACCCCAAGAATTATTTAGCAGCCCAACATCCAGCTTAATAATTACTTTATGGACACTGTACACTTGGACCCAAATTACAAGAGGTTTTTTTTAAAAAAAAAAATAAAAAAAAATAAAAAAAACCAATAAAGCTATCATATCATATTATATATCACTAATAAATAAAGTCGGTCTTGCAGCCAAGTCGCGAGACATCGACTTGGCATTCAAGTTTTTCGCCAAGTGTCATGCCACGTAGGGCGACAAATAAGTTTTATTGTGACACATATGATGCTAAGCGAAGTTTAAATAGATTTTTAAAGATAAAAAAGTTGTATAGAGTTTTATTATCGATATAATTCTAATATTTCATATATACAAAATTAATCATAACTTTTAATAAATATTTTATAATTCGGTACTATTTCCATCATAAAATTCGTTTTAAAAAGTTCTTTAAAATAAGATTCATTTATAATATATTTTAATTTATTTACAAAAATAATAGAGGATTAGTGAAAATAAGTTTTAATCATGAAAAATAATTTTTGTTTTGGGAAAAAATACTTTTAGTTCAATAAAAATAATTTCAATTCAATAAAATATAGTTCAATTCAGTATGTCTAAATATCCTGCATTATTAAAAGGGATATGATCATATTTAACATTCAATTCAAAAAGTTTATCCTAAACTTTTATCAACCATCTGAATATCATGCGGGCACAAAACTAGTAATCCACATGCACATGGCTCATGACCCACTATAGCGCCTCTTGTGGCAAGCCTAGACCGAAGTAACCCGGGTGCCGACCCGACCTACGTCTAGCTCAATCATTAGGTTTTTGTTGATAGTGCTTGAGGTTATACACGGGGATATGTCTACATCCTATTGCATGTTATAAACCCAAAAGAATTCTAAAATTGTCTTGGTGTAAAAATGGTTGAACATAAATGGGCGACGAGTTGGAGAAATGGAGCTTTCAATGCCCAATCAAGAATCAACAGTGCACATTGAGCATTCAAGCACACGTGTACCCAACAATTTCATACCACATGCTATAACATGTGGAGTTGCAGCCAAAACAAATTGACCCACCAATTTCATCCATCTTATTTAAGAATTTTGTTGAAACTTGTAACAAGACAAATGCTTCCCTGAGTAGGCTTTAATTTCTAAAGATCGACATAATATCATATCATATAATTTGGCCAACTTTTATAATATATTTAATCACAAATCTTTATACGTAACTGGTCAAACCGTATCACCAACTATTACAAGATTAAAGTTACTTTGTAAGTATTATAGGGGTTACTTGGTCAGTGTTATAGTGGTTACTCAATCAGTGTTATAGATAGGGGTTACTTAGTCAGTGTTAAAGGTTACTCAATCAGTATTACAGGGGTTACTGGATCAGTTTTATAGGGGTTACTTTGTCCGGCCAGATGATATGGTTAGCCGCATACAAAATGCATTATTATTTAATTTATTTAAAAGAATATTAGAGAATCAGTAAAAGAAGTTTTAATCATTAAAAATAATTTTAGTTTGGTAAAAATATTTCCAATTCAGTGAAAATAATTTTAGTTCGATAAAAATAATTTCGAGACAATAATAACATAAATATTTATTTACAAACAAAACTTCACAAAGTATACTCCATATGATCTGATATCATATGTCTAAATATCCTACATTATCAGAATGAATTATTAGATCGTATTTAACATTCAAGTAAAAATGTTATCTTAAAGTTTTTCAACCATCTGGACATCGCTCGGGCACAAAACTAGTCACTAATAAATAAAGCCGGTCTCGCAGCTAGGTCACGAGACAACGACACTTGGCATTCCAGTTTTTCACTAAGTGTCGCGCCACATAGGAGATAAATAAGCATTATTGTGACACGTATGATGTTAAGTAAGCGATTTTTGGATAGATTTTTTTTAAGATAAAATTGTTGTATAGAGTTTTATTATCGATAGAATTCTAATATTCTTTAAAAACAAGATCCCTTTATAATATATTTTATCACAAACTTTTATATGTAGCTGGTCAAACCATGCACCAAGAGCCACTTCGTTAGTGTTATAGGGGTTACTTGATCAGTGTTATAGTGGTTACTCAATCAGTGTTATAGATAGGGGTTACTTAGTCAGTGTTAGAGGTTACTCAGTTAGTATTACAGGGGTTACTTTGTCCGGCAAGATGGTGTGGCTAGCCACATACAAAATGCATTGTTATTTAATTTATTTTTAAAAAATAATAGAGAACGAATCAGTAAAAGTAAGTTTTAATTTGAAAAAATAATTGGTAAAAATACTTTGAGTTCAGTGAAAATAATTTAAGCTCAATATAAGTAATTTCAAGTCAATAATAACATAGATATCTATTTACAAACAAAACTACAAAAAGTACACTATTATATAAATATTAGTCAAATGATATCGTATGTCTAAATATCCTACATTATCATAACGGATTATATGACCGTATTTAACATTCAAGTAAAAATGTTATCTTAAAATTTTATCAACCATCTGGGCATCGCCCGGGCACAAAACTAGTTTTATTTAAGAGTACTCTAAACCCACCAAAGTCAAAATATTTTTGGGGAAAGAGTCAAGTCGTACATACTTGTATCCCATCTAGCTACAAGATGAGAAACGGTGTTACAAGAACGTTTAACATGAGTAACAATACAACTATCGAACCAAGCTCTGTCAATTTTAATGTCATCATAAATAACAAATAAAGGAGAGAGACCCCTGGTACTTGCGTTCACCTGGTTGACCACATTCACAGCATCACACTCCACCCATATGTTCTTGTATCCCATCCTTCTAGCAAGCCTCAAAGCATACAACTCTGTCATTGCTTCTACATACTCCGATTGAGATCCCCACACCTTCATAGTTGAAGCACGTAGTAGTTTACCCCCCGCATCACGCCCCACCACACCAAGACGTACTAGCAGCTCCAGCAAGAGTAACATGAGCATCTATATTGAATTTCACGCAACCAGAAGGGGGAGTAGGGTGCCAGGCATCAAAGCTGGTTATACTAGCCTCGCCAGTAGCCCTCCGAAACACCTTAATGGCATAAGAGTTGTAATCTTGAACCAACTTGTAGAAACCCGCTGCTAGCATAACAAAATTCGGCCTCTCGCTATAAAAAAATTAACAAGTTCCTACACCTCCACGCAGCCCACATAAGCACAGCCATCGAGCATACCACATCAGCATTACATTTTCTTACTAGCCACTCCCAACGAGACGCAAAAGACTCTACAGGGGTACCAACCAAATTAGCTTGCAACTCACTTTTATCCCACATTTCCTCTGCCGCTTCACACTCAAACAGTGTGTGGATAACCGTCTCTTCCATCGCCCCACAAATTTGGCACGAACTCTCATTCACAATGTGACAATGTCGCAGCCTGTCCTTCACAGCCAGGTTGCCTTTTACCGCACTCCACATAAAATGCTGAAGCTTCGGAGGTCCACGCAACTTCCAAACTGAATTCCACACATCTTCATTTATGTTCTCATTGTGGCCCTCAACACCCCCCCCCCCCCCAATTTTGCCAGCTAATAGCTTGACCTCACCGCATACATCCCAGTCTTCGTCCATCCCCAATACCTCATATCAGCTTTTGGCACAGTAGGCACAGGAGAAGCAAGAACAGCAGCGCACCACTCAGCCCGTACAATGTTTGTAATCTTCGAAGCATCCCATCCACTCCTATCATCATAAATCAGCTCACACACTTTCATACTTCCCACACCATTAGCATTCATAGAAATTTGGCACGGCTTACCATCGACAAGCAGCCACGAATTAGCCCAAATATCAATCCCCGAGCCATTTCCTATTCTCCAAACCAAACCATCACGCAATAATCCCTTCGCACCCCGCATACTCCGCCAAGAAAAACTAGGATCGAAACCCCTATTAGCCTCAATCACCGAAGAATTCTTGAAGTATTTGACCTTCAAAATTTTGTGGAGTAAAGACGACTCATTCGTGTGCAATCGCCATAGCAAGCTTCGCAAGGAAGGCTTGGTTAAAACATTTGAGATCTCGAAAATTCATTCCACCCCGCGCATTTGGTAAACATAACTTTTCCTAATTTTGCCAATGTAATTTCCTCACATCTTCCCTTGAACCCCACCAAAATTTACACAATAGAGAGTGAACTTCATCAATAAGACCATCCGGCACCTTGAATGTACTCATCATCATATATGTGGGATAGCTTGAGCCACGACTTTTATATGAACTTCCTTCCCCGGTAAGGGTTACATAGTCAGTGTTAAAGGTTACTCGATTAGTTAGTATTACAGGGGTTACTCGATCAGTTTTATAGGGGTTACTTTGTCCAGCCAGATGGTGTAATTAGCCGCATTCAAAATGCATTGTTATTTAATTTATTTTTAAAAAATTAGATAATTAGTAGAATAAGTTTTAATCAGTAAAAATAATTTTAGTTTGGTAAAAATACTTTCAGTTCAGTGAAAATAATTTACGTTCAATAAAAATAATTTCAAGTCAATAATAACATAGATATCCATTTACAAACAAAACTATACAAAGTACACTCCATATGATATCGTATGTCTAAATATCCTACATCATCATAACGAATTATTTCACCGTATTTAACATTCAATCAAGTAAAAATTTTATCTAAAAATTTTATCAACCATTTGGGCATCGCCCGGGCACAAAACTAGTAACTAATATATAAATCTAAACTTTTAGCCAGGCTACGAGACAGGCAGACAGCTACAGTTGGCGTTTCAATTTTATGCCAATGTCGTGCCACGTAGGATTTATTTGTATTTTTGTTGAATTATCATATCATATAACTAATATATAAAGTCAATCTCGCAGTCAGGTGACAAGACATCGACACTTGGCATTCCAATTTTTCGCCAAGTGTCGTGCCACGTAGGTAAAAAATAGGTATTATTGTGACACATATGAAACTAAGTAAGCGATTTTTGGATAGATTTTTTAAGATAAAATTGTTGTATAGAGTTTAATTATCGATAGAATTCTAATATTTCATATATACAAAATTAATCATAATTTTTAATAACTATCCTATAACTCTGTTCTATTTCTATCATCAAATTCGTTTTAAAAAGTTCTTTACAATAAGATCCATTTATAATATATTTAATCACAAACTTTTATACGTAGCTGGGCAAACTGTGTCACCAACTATTACAAGAGTTACTTCGTTAGTGCTATAGGAGTTACTTGGTCAGTGTTATAGCGATTACTCAATCAGTATTATAGATAGGGGTTACTTGGTCAGTGTTAGAGGTTACTCAGTTAGTATTATAGGGTTACTCGGTCAGTTTTATAGGTATTACTTTGTTCACCCAGATGGTGTAGCTAGCCACATACAAAATGCATTGTTATTTAACTTATTTAAGAAACTATTACAGAATCAGTAAAAATAAGTTTAATCAATAAAAAATAATTTTAGTTTGGTGAAAATACTTTCAATTCAGTGAAAATAATTTAAGTTCAATAAATATAATTTCAAGTTAATAATATATATATATATATATATATATATATATATATATATATATTTACAAACAAAATTACAAAAAGTACACTATATATAAATATAAGCCATATGATATCATATATCTAAATATCCTACATTATCAGAACGAATTATTTGACCATATTTAACATTCAAGTAAAAATATTATCTTAAAACTTTATCAACCTGGGCGTCGCCCGGGCACAAAACTAGTTAATATATAAAGCTAAACTTTTAGTCAGGCCACGAGACAGAGACACTTGGCGTATCAATTTTATGCCCAATGGCGTGTCACGTGGGCAACAATTAAATATTAGTATGACACGTAGAATTTATTTGTGTTTTTGTTGAATAAAAAAAGTTGGTTTTTTTTTATTAAGATAAAAAACAGATTTAGATAGATTTTGTAGCATAAAAAAGTTAATTTAGAGTTTTATTTTTAATAAAATTTGGATATACTTTTAGGATAAAAGTGTTGGTTTATAATTTTATTTTCAATAAAATACCAATATTTCATATATATAAATTAAATTATAACTTTATTCAAAATAAATATTAAACTATATTAAATAATAGGCCAAATTAGAAAATAACACCCATTAAAACCCCCGATTTTGATTATAACACCAAAACATTTCGAAATTTTATTATAACACCACTTAAAATCCCAAAATTTTGGTTTCACCACCCACTAACGGATTTTTGGATGAAAACCGTTAGTGGGGCCCGCCATGTACACGTGTCAGTTGTTTATTGATTTAAAAAAAAAATTTAAAAAAAAAGAGAAAAACCCCTATACCCTAACCCGGCGATCGTGACTCCACCGCCGGAGACCCCTAGTGCCGCTGGAATCCTTTCCTTCATCGGCGAAATCACTAGCTATCAACCCCACCCACCACAGCCCCTCCTTTACCGTCGAAACCACGGGGAGTTGCGGTTTAGTGTGGTGGAATTGCAGAAGGGTTAAGATGCGAGGGGTGTGCGGTGATTATGGGAGTTGCGCAGGGGAGTTGCGGTGGCAGCGACGAATTGATCTCATTGCTGGCCGGCGGTCTGGAGGAGATGAAGGATGGTTTTGTGTGTCGAATGGGCTGCGAAGGTTGTAGGTGGAGCTGGTTGTTGCGGTGGTTGAGGGAAGGTGGAGATGCGGGTTGCTCTGTTTGAACTGGGGCTGTTGCTGTGGTGATAGGGCGACGGTGGTGGTGATGTTGCGCCGGTGAAGGAAGGTATTCCGGCGGCAGCGGAGGTCTCCGGCGGTGGAGTGACGGCCGCCGGTGGGGCTGGTGGCTGGGTTAGGGTTTAGGGGTTTTTCTTTTTTTTTTTTTAATTTTACTTATAATTTTTATTTATCTTTTTTTAAGCCAATACCTTATTGACACATGTCCCTAGTGGGCCCCACTAACGGTTTTCATCCAAAAATCCGTTAGTAGGTGGTGAAATCAAAATTTTGGGATTTTAAGTGGTGTTATAATAAAATTTCAAAATGTTTTGGTGTTATAATCAAAATCGGGGGTTTTAATGGGTGTTATTTTCTAATTTGGCCTAAATAATATAATATAACAACAACTAAGTATTAATGTGACAAATTGACACGCATAGTAATTTGGATAGTTTTTTAAGATAATAAATGGTTTAGAATTCTAATTTCGATAAACTTCCAGTATTTCATATGTATACATAAATTACAACTTTTAATTATTATCTTATAAATTGGTTGCTTTACATCAGTAAAATATTTTTAGAGAGTGCTTTCTCAATTTCATAAAAGCTCTTATCTCACTTTTTTAACAAGAGCTGTCAATCGGGTCGGTAGGATCGGGTTCGGGTCACTTCGGATCATGGGTCATTTCAAGTCGAGTCACTTTAGGTCACGGGTCGAGAAATGCTTAACTCTAACCCAATGTTTCAGGTTTGGGACGACCCTCGAGGTTAGAACATTTTTAATTTAATTATTTTTTTGCTAAATTTTTAGAAATTTCTAATATTTCAAACTTACTTTGGTAATTTTTTTTAAAATCAAACCTTCTCACTAATATTGTTTTTAGTCATTAAATGCCTACTGCATAATTTAAATCGTCAGAAAAGCACATCAATTCCTAAATAATTTTGTTGCAATGATATATTTCAAAATTTGGCAGATAAAAAGTTTATCTTCAAATTCATCAACCAATCTGGGCATCGCGAGGGGCACAAAACTATTATATTTATAAGAGTGGTTCATTGAGAGCCACTTTAATGCATGAAGTAACCCAACACATGTTGCTATGTTCATAAACTAAAATCAAGGCGCTACTGCAACAGGTTTGCCATTTACTCTATGCAATCTCCTAACTTTTATTTACTTATTA